TTCTGACTTTTCTAGCAGTAAATTTGAATACCACCTACGTGAAATCATGGAAGACCTGGAAATTACATGTCTTAGGTACCTACAAAGAATTGGATACTTTTCATGGTTTTCCTGGGACATGGACAATTCCAAATACTGCAGAGAATCTTACTGCCTAAGCACTGAGAGCATTTAATTGCCTAATAAGAAAAATGGGATAAATTAATGGCACACATCCAGAGACAGAAGGATTCACACTTAAACAGGACAAGGACTGCACATTCCCCTGCTGTGTGATATGTGGCCTGCAGGAGCAAACATCAAACCCCAGACTGCACCATTTCCCTGTTGCCAGCAAAAAGACAAGGAAGTCCTGAGCATTTCTTACTGTGCTATAGACCCTCACGGATGCAGCAAGTTGTTAACATTCTTCTGCCACCAAGGCTTTAATCATGTAATGACCCTTCTGCTTTTGTACTTTGCAAACAGAAAAAACTTAGCAAAAGTCTTTGTGTCCCCCCAGCCCGATAAATCTCAGAAGAAACTGGGCTTGTGATGAACTCATCAACTATGTTAGTGAAACCATAATAATAATAGCAACAATGAATTAAACCCTCAAATGAGGAAGTTCATTATATTGCTATCAGAATTTGGATACTGTATTGTACATGAGCTTGAGAACATACATTGTGAGGTGTAGCAGAGATGAAATACTGAACATATGCTTATTAAGAAAACAATTGACCTTTTCTTGTGCAATTCAAGAGCTGAGGTTCCTAGAAGCATAAATGTATGACTATGCAATTAAGCACTGTGCCACAACCAGCACAGCACCCAACAGGGTCAAATACAAATATAGAGACAACCTTAATTTCTCCAGCATTTAAATTTTCTTTTTGCAACCTTTACATACTTCTTATGCAGATTTCATGCTCAGTTTGGAGGGAAGGAATCCTTATTAATATAACTAAACTTCTGCTTTATTCCCCACAGCATATAAAGCTGGTCAAAGACAAGGGGAGCCAGAGACACTTACCCATTTCACTCTGAGAACTGAATGTACAATAGCTACTGAAAGTTCACATTTCATCTCAAGTATGGCCTAAATTCAAACCTGAATTCTGTCTTGAAGCCAAGCCAATTGGACAGAGGATCACGCTTACATCCTTTTTGGTTGAAACCCACCATTGGAGGATAGCCTTGAGCTCTTGCTACTTTTCAGCAGGGGCTCAGCAATGCCGACTTTGTAAAGCATGTGTAAGATTTTCAGGAAGCCAAACTGCACACATTGTCTCACTAGCAGCCAAGACGGGTAGACTGTTAATTACACAGCATGTACTAGGACTCTCCCGGGCCTGGGTTCTACCACTATGGTGGAAATCACGGAATCACAAAATGGTAGGGGTTGGAAGGGAGCTTAGGAAACCATCTAGTCCAACCACCCTGCCAAATCAGGTTCACCTAGAGCACATTGGTCAGGATCGCATCCAGGAGCATTTTGAATATCTCAAGAGAAGGAGACTCCACAACCTCTGGGCAGCCTGTGCCAGTGCTCTGTCACCCTCAAAGTTAAATAATTGATTATGTAAATAAGCAATTGTGGATCATTACTTGAAGAAAGTTATGAGCTTTCACTGCTGAGGTATGCAGGTGTACAACACAAACAAGGTCATCTGTTTATAGAAGGCATTATTCCACCCAAGACCACTGGAAACAAGATGGCTGCTCTAACATGGGAAACTGATAGTACTTGGTATTAGCAAGGTAACAAAAATATCAGCTACCCACAGCCTCACCACTGGGGCACAGACAGCTGTGGTAGGGCACAGAAGGTCTGTGATGCAGTAGTGTTGAGATCAATCCCAGATCAGATCAGAAAGCAAGCTGAATACACTCACATTGGAGTAGAAGGAAGCTGGAGTATACCCTGGTTATGTTCTTTACATTCTTTCAATCTGTTTTCTGTTATCAGATGCTGGACTTTAATATCGGGTAGGAATTGGAGACAACTGCTGGTCCAGTTATTTCAAAATGTCATGTCTAAATGTCATCCTTAAAAATTTGTTTCCAAATTAAAATGTTGCATATTTTAAATGAAAAAAAAAATTTGATTGCTGCATAATTCATTCTACCTTTTCCCTAAGTCATTTCCGTGCCCAGCTGCCATGCTGGGTTGAGGGCATATGTATCTCAATTTAACAGTCTGGATTTAAAGCCTGAAGCTGGCACATGCTGGAAAGTATCAGTTGTATCTATCATCATTCCTTTCAAGCTCTGCCACAGCTCCCACATTGCCTGAAGCCCTAAATGAGAGAGTGCATTCATCACTGTTGTTGAAGAGCCAAGGCAAAAAGTCCAAAACAACAAACGTGATGAGCCTGTGCTTTCTGTAGGCTTCACCTAGAGCCTTATTAACTAACTAATAAAGCCATGATTCCCTGGCTTGTTTACCTGACATCCTGGAGCTGCACTAAGGGAGTAACTTTTTGACTGTGGGTTCATGACCTAGGACAGACGCTATTAAACTTGTACTCTGAATAAATAATTTGCTCCTACTCACATGCTCATTTCTCACTCCTTCATATGAGAAATAAGCAAATATTATTGGGAAGATCTTTAATAGGCAAAAGTTCTTAGATTTAATTCATACTTGCCAACAACAACTTTTGTATGTGCACATACCAGACAGAATCTGTTTCGGTTTTCTCCTTCTCTATTTCTGCTTTTAGTGGAGTTGGTGAAGAAATTAATGTAAATAAGCAAGTAATGGAGGACGTAATCCAGCCCTTTTCCCTATTCTTTCAACATTTGTTTCACATTTCCAGCCACCAATTCACAATACTTTGAGACAGAGTCTTGTATATCATCAAATCCATCTCTGTCAGGACAAAGTAATCACAGAATGATTAAACTCTCTTTCACAGAACTCTCAAACTTAAAAAATAAAAAAAAAAAAGCTCCTCTCTACAGTTTGATCCATCTTTACTGATTCTGCGGGAAACAGCTTCATGTTTCAAAGGCATGCTACTTGGAATTATCCCCAGAAGAAAGAAAACCACAGGAAACTGAGCTCTTCTGTTTTCACAAGCTGAGTGCACTCCCTAAAGTGGGACTTCCTATAGAAAAGCTGCAATTCAGAGCTTTGCCTGAGGTCAAATAACATTGTTCCAAGTATCCCTTTTTACTTTTTCTGCAGAGCCAACCCTCTGCAGTAATGCTCAGGAGTAAATGCATTTCCAAGAGACTTTACCACTCAGCCTGACTCAGCAAAGTCTAGATAGCTGGCAGTATCCCAGGGAAATCCCTATTAGCTGGAAGCTTCATCTAAGCTCAGGCTGTATGCATCCTACTCATGAAAATGCAAATTCTAGCCTAGATCACCTTGGATTTGTAACAGAGGGCATCTCAGCTTTCTTAAATGCTTTTAGAGCTCTTTGCCCAACAGTGAGAAAAGTACAACCACTATCTACCTCAGGAACACTTCAATGGTCTAGCAGAAGAGACAGCAACCAGTGAAAACAGGGCATTAACCCATTGGCCTGCAACTCAGAAATTCATTACTCTTTCTTTGTTCCCTCCTGTCTAATGCAGACCTACGTCATTGCTTAGAAACAGTTCCAGCTATAAACATACATTAGACGTATACTGTACATACTGATATGTTTATATTAATACATTACACTCTCTAGATATATATTCATTAAATACATCATAAAACCAAAAAATTTTGACCAGGTAGGTGTTCTGAATTTTTCTGTCTGGTAACCAATACCCTCTTTTAAATGATCATATTAATACCTTTCTACGGCAGTGTCACAGGTAGACAACTCCCTCTAAGTACTTTCTTTTCTTAGAATCATAATCCCAAATTCTTTCATTTGCAGAACAATTCTCCATACCCCTTTACAAGGTGCACTATGCCACCAGAACAATTCATCCGTGCTTCTGTCCTGAATCATAAGGATTGGGTCAGAAGTATCACTCAGTGCAGACATAGTTTTGTTTATGGACAGTCGCTTTCAGCTCTGTGATGAGACTTTGAAGCTTTCACCCAGACATGTTGTTAAGTCACTGTAACCTGTGCAGAGGTAGGCACTGCCCAGGGAACATCTCATATACTGAGCAGGGCTTCCTCATTCTGTCTACAGGTATTTTCTATTGTTCTTTGACATGTCATCTAAGTCAACACACAGACTTTCTTAATCAGAAACCCCTCCTCCAACCATTACCTGCATTTCTTTCCAAGTTATCTGAGCTCTAGGACCTCATCTTATAAAAGTAAATTATTCTAAAGAAACAATTTTGACCCAGTCTTGAGGGTGAGGCAGAAAAACTGTCTTCTCTCTCCACACATTAATCCCTAAAAGCTAATGTATGGTAACAATGAGTTCAGCTACCTTAAATTAGCTCATTTCTCTAGTAAAAGTTTGTTTTGTACATGTCAATCTTATTCTGAATCCTCGCAATCATTCATTTCCTTCTCATTACAAAAATCAACTTAAGTAATAGAGAGTAGTAGAGAGTCCCTCAGATAAACAAAACTCTCTTTCTTTCAGATGAATCCCCTGTGAGTAGTGGAAGTCTAAATGTGAAAAGTAGAGTAGATTTGTCCCATTTCACCTGTCTACACAAAGAAAGCCTTGGAAGCAATAGAGAAGATACTTGTACTGTAGCTCTCAGAAACACGCGGAATTATGACCCTTCTCACAAACTACAAATGCAAGCTTGGAAAGCACCCACATAGGGATAGGGAAGCCTGTAACATTTAAAATAATGTAAGCATTTAACAGATAATGAGAAAAATACACATTTTTCTCCCCTCATTTTCACTCTCTATTTCAATTTTGCAGGGCTTTTTAGTGTGGGAGAAATGTTTAAACAATGACAGAGCTTGAGGAACAGTGCACAAGATTAGAAAGTTCAGTGTGGCAAAGCACCTGGCTCTATCCAGGTGCTCAGGAACAAATCAGCTGAAAACAGTTCTCCATTAAGCACTATGAGTTGCCCAGCTGGATCCCTACCTTGTCTCGAATACCTTGTCTCATAACTTCTCTTTCAGCCTCCATCTTCGCATATTTGGCTTTTCTCTCTTCCTCTTCCTGCCTGAGGGCTTCCTGTCGTTCCTCTTCTTTCTTGGCAGCATCTGGGTCTTTCTCCTCATCCCCACCCAGCATCTTCCCCATGTCTTTGGTAGCCCCTAGAGAAAGCACAAGAGAAAGTCAGCCCTCTAAGAATGTGGGAAAACCATTCTCCTTCCCCCAAACTCAGGACTTCCTTCTACTCCCTTTCCATCTGGAAAGGTTTCTCCCTCCACCAAGGAGGAGAAGAAGGCACACTCCTCACAAAGGCAGAAGGCAGGCAAAGCACCCAGCCTGACTGGATGGGTTAGCTGGCACTGGTGGGAGAAGTGCAGCAGCAAGAAGAAAAGACTAAATCTGTAGACCTGCATGATGCCAACACAATTGATTTGCATTCCTGAAGGGGGCAAGCTGCCATCCACACAGTGTTTTCACTCCATCAGCTCAGTCAAGCAACCCAAGATTGATTTTGGGGAGTCTTTAATGTAATAAGCAGGTGATAAATCCAGAAAATAATAACACCAGGGCTCAGAAAGGAATTTGAAATCTTGATTTCACAGATAAGTAATCAGGGTCTTAATTGTTGCCAGAAATTACACATCCCATAACAGGTAGGAGCACACAGAATTAGCAAACATTTGGAGTTGTTGATGATTTCTAGGCTCCTACCATGGATCATAAAGAAGCAGCATCTCTGTATGTCTCTTACCTACCCTTGGACACCACTGCTTCTAATGCTTGGTGCATAGGTGGGATCCTGGCTCTGCCTGGTCCTCTTTCTACCCCTGCATGCACATCGGTCCCAAATTTTCAGCCCCTGTGTGCTCCTGAGCCAGGTCTTTATTATTGTGCAAAGCCCCTTTTACAACCATGCAAATGGGGAGGCTTCTTGCATGCCCCTCCATCCCCAGAGGGCTGCATAAAGCCATTTACCCTGTATTTCAGCAGCACTTTTAATTGGCAAATGACTGGCAATCATCCAGCTGAGGAGGAAAGCAGGTGCTCGGGAAAAGGAGAGGGTGTTCACTGTGATACGTCCTCATCAGGGTACTGGAGGGCTGCAGCAGTACAAGGCTGGTTACACAGATCAAGAGAAGATATGTATCCTTTGGGAGTTGTGTTGTAATCTGCCTGGAGCAGGAAAGAACCCTGAGTCATTTACTAAAAAGGTACCTTCATCCTGGAAGAACACTGTAGGTGTTAGACTAGAAGGAGATATTGTCAAAGTCCTTCCAAATAATTGTTTGTTGGCATTACTAGAAGCTAAGGGAAGGGAAGAGGTTTGCACTGCCCCTTTCTCTCCCTTATAAATTACTTCTTCAGTGTGTCAACAGTGACGAAGGACCGTGTTTCCTCTTGCTTTCCATGTGAGTTCTTGGGATCACAATGGTGGAACCTTGGTTCTTACAGGGAGAAACATCTGCAGCCTGTCAGTATGATTCCTCCTGAATTGTCCCAGAGATGACAATTATCAGATTAACTATTGCCTCTAACAATCAACAAGGAATTTGTTGAGAGGTTTGTGGCTTTTCTCCTCCACATTTCTTCTGCAGGTGACGTGTTTTCCCAGAGCCCTAAATTGAAGGCAGCCTTGAATCAAAAGCAACACTCCAATGTGACAGAGAAACGGTCCCTTTACATTTCCTATAGAGAAGCAGGAGAAAGTGATCATTTTAAGTTTGTCAAGATCTGGTTGTTATAGATGGGTGGGAAATAATAATAGTAAAGATGACTGTCTCCAATTCAGCTACCTAACCACAAGCCTCTTGACACTTCCATCCCATTGGGAAACCTGTGAATAAAAAGAGGAATACACCCAGGGACCCCAACCAAACCCCAGCAAGAATATTCATGGTCCCTAGCTACTGTCAGCCTTCCTCTACTGTAATTTTGCATCCTCCTCTGCAGTGTCAGAGTAATACAGGAACTCTTGCATATTGAGGGCAAATTTACTCAGACCATCAGGTGATTTCTTTCCTGGGATGCAAGGAAGGCTAACTGATATTGCAAGCAAGTTATAATTTCATACTAATTGGAAAGGCAATGCAGACTAATTAGGTCATACATCCTTATTGCAAGGACATCCATAAGGAGCCTTACCACACATAAATCATTGATGACCACTGCCAGTAACGCCTTTAATTTTGGATTCCCAAGAACAAATATTTCCACTGATGGTCAAACTGATTAGGGTTCAACAGTCTATGAATTTTATCTCTTTTTAGCTTCTCTCCACTTAGAGCTACCCAGACAGCGTAATACACTAGTTACTTATGAAGCAGAATTCAGCAGCAGAGATTTTTTTTTCCCTCTAAGCACTACTTCTTGGCTATCATTAAGTTATAATGTCAGCTCAGCTCATCATGTAAGGAATGAAATTATGTAGGCTTTCTTTTATCTCTTAGACAAGACCAAGAGTTTGAATACTTTATGAATTTGATTTTGCAGCTATTCAACACACAAGACACCTACAAGAACAAGAATGTAGTTTTAGGATCTCACAGACTCAAGTCTTAATTCACCCCTGATTTCAAAGTCACCTTTTAAATGTCCAGAATGTTGCACTGTGTTATAACTGTTAACTAATTGGAAAGAATTTTGAGAAGTAAAATTTCACACCACATTTTAACTCCAATCTTTTGTGTTACTTTTGGTATAGGTTTTTTGGTATAGTTGGATTTTTTCTTTTAGCAGTTCAGCAGTGGATGCTCCAGAGAATTCATTTGCACATCCTAAGATGCTGCAGTTACAGGCATAAGTAGAAAAGAAGAGCAGAATTTCTGTCCTCAAGCCTACTTTTGAAGCTTTGAAAGAAACAGAGGGGAAGGACACACTTACTGAATCTGTTCATATGATAAGCCTGGGTCTTTTTGTCTTCTTTCACATCCCAAACACACATCTACCTTGACATTAAGAGAAGATAGAGAATGCCAAAGTAATCACTAATCAGTAAGGAGCTTCAATCAACTTTATGTCCAACATCTCTAGATGAGGCCACAGGAAGAACACAGAAATGACTAAAGCTCCAGAACAACATGTGCAAACTGTCACCTTTTTGGCCCTGCCCTCAAAGGATAAAAAACTTCCACGAGGGAAAGCATCTCAAAGGTGGTTTGTTTAGAAGACAAGTGGTATGGCAGGTATTCCAAACTAATAGTCATTCCCTTGATCCATACGGGTTAAAGAACTAGTCAATCAGGTGTTAAGCCAAATACTATGAGCTCACTTAGATACAATTTCATGTGACATTTGCTGGTTTCAGTTGCCATCAGCCATCTGAAAAACTGTAATTCGGTTGTGCAGGAACATGTGGGAGACATTCCCCAGTGAAATAGCTGGAAAGCAGGCCAGCTATCTGGAAAGTAGTTTTTCAGCAAAAGCCTTGGAGTCCTGATGAACAACAAGCTGACCATGAGCCAGCAATGTGTCCTTGCAGCAAAAAAAGTCAACAGCCTGTTCGGCTGCATTAGGAAGAGTACTGCCAGCAAGTTGAGGCATCCTTCCCTTCTACTTAGCCCTGGTAAGACCAGATTTGGAGTGATATGCCCAGTTCTGGGCTCCCAGATACAAAAGTGACATAAAGCTACGGGAGTAAGCCAGCAAAGGGCCGTGAAGATGACTAGGAGACTCAAGGATCTCTCATATAAGAAGCTAAGAGAGCTGGAACTGGAAGGTTCAGGGGGGTCTCAGTAATGTGGGTAAATACCTGATGAAAGGGAATGAATAAGAGGCAGCCAGGCTCTTCTCACTGGTGTCCAGTGACAGAAGAGATAATGTGTACAAACTGAGATATGGGGAATGCCATTTAAGCCTAACTAAAAAAAAAAGGGGGGGAGTTGCAGAAACAGGCTGTGGAGTCTCCATCTGTGGAGATATTCAAAACTTCATAGGGCACAGCCCTGAGTAACCTGCTGCAGATCACCCTTTTTGAGAACGGGATTGGACTAGACAACCCCTGGGGATCCCTGCCAACTTCAGATAGTCCATGAGTTTGTGAGACCTCACAAGTGGTTTAAATGGCAACTGAAAATGACTGAAGTGAATTTTGCAAGGAAGAGCAGCACATACCCAAACAGATCGTGCATCTGAACGGAAGAAAACTGAATTCTTAAATTGCCTGACCTCCATCACAGGAGCTTCACCTCATATGACCTACCCCTTCAACAGCTGACTGACATCAATCCGGCTTTCACACAGAAAACATAAAATCACAGAATCAACTAGCAGAAGCAGAGTTCAATTCCTTACTTGTTAAAAAAAATATAAAAGGAAAAGAAAAAATTATCCTAAATATTGACATGCAAAGCTATTTGCTGCAAAAGCTATATCGAACAGGATTGGGACTTTTAAGGATGACTTACAGAGAAAGAGATTAACAGAAAGATCTTGGGCATTCTTAATTAAGCACAGGATGATGGAATTAGCACACACCATTGCTTCAGGTAAGGTAATTAAGTGAAATCAGAAGAATTTCTTTTGCACAAATCTCATTTCATATTGCAGACAAATAGCACCACACACCTGTCTTTCAAGAGTGCTGCATAAGTGTGTGCTTAGACCTCAGAGCATGTTGCAGAAGTTCCCCCTCTCAATCACAGCTGTCAGAGGAAGCAGCGAGAGGTTTACCTGAAACAGGCATGCCCTGAGAAAATTCTGCAAGTGCTTTTTTGGTAGTACCGTTTGCGGCTGAGCCACATTTAGATCAATCAGACAGGACAACTGATTTCTCAGAGTTTCTGAATCACAGCATGATTTTTATCATATCATCCAAACTACTGAGTACTGTCCACAGAGTACTGTCCTGGAGCAGGAATCGGTCACTCATTTTTGCAGCACCACTTCAGAAGCAGAACTAAGAATGTTTTACTGGAGAGAGATCTTTTTCATCAATGCCATAATGCAAAGCTTATGTCTGGCATACAGGAAATCCTTTCCCCATTTTAAGGCTTATGAAAGAGGTGAATTTGCCATTAAGAAAAAAGCCTTATAGCAATCATTATGGGACTCTTTACTCTGTCCAGAAGTCAAGACACTTAATCAGCAATTTGTCAGGAAAGGTGGTGTCCTGGTTCTGGCAGGGATGGGGTTAATTTTCCCAAGGAGCCAGCAGGGGATACAG